GACGGGGCGGGGAGGCGGAGGAGCGGCCAGGGCGGTGCGCGACGGGGCGCGGCGCGGTGGGAGGGCCGCCGGGCAGGGTGGCCGGAGGCGCGGCGGCGGCCGATCTGGGAGGGGAGCTGAAAACTCCCTCCCGCGCGAACGAGAAGAGATAATCGGGTCAGGGAGGGGTTGGGCTGCCAACCCCTGTTTCTACAGGCTGGGAAGGAGAATAGGGGTTGAGCCTCTAAAAAAATTTAAGGGTTTAAGGGTTAAGGGGTTCTATTCTTTGCGATTTTTTTGTCTCAACCCGTAAAAAAACGGTTATTTTTTTGGGTTTGGGGGTTTAGGGGTACTACTAGTAATGCTCTTAGCATCTCAAGGAGCATGCCGATGAGTATGGCCACAAAGAAGAAGAAAAGCAAGCAAATGGCGCCACTTGTGCAGCACCAAGCTTTTACACCTGTTTTGACAGGCTTGCCCTTCCAAACCCCTCCAATATGCTATATAAACCCATGAGATCCAGAACCAGGAGTCACCAAGGAGAGACACGAGCAACTACAATGGGCTCCCTTTCCATGAAGTGCCTGCTCTTCACCTCGGCAGTCGCCGTTGTCCTTGCTCTTTTCCCCGTTGCCGCTGTCGGCGCCGGCCTGAAAGTCGGATTCTATAGCAAGAGCTGCCCATCGGCAGAGAACCTGGTGCAGCAGGCGGTGGCTGCTGCCTTCAAGAACAACACCGGTGTCGCCGCTGGCCTCATCCGGCTGCACTTCCACGACTGTTTTGTCAAGGTATGTTCATGAGTATTAGTTTGCTGGTCCTAGATATATGGGTGTGCATAGATGGATCCTTGGCCGGAAAGTACAGTATCATCTGCATCTAGCTACTTTTAGCTAGGAATCATCATAGACGGATAGATGCAGACAAGAGTCCAGCATATAGTTAGTTAGCCCAGTTTTCTTTCTCTGACGATGATTCATTTGCATAAATGAAATAATGATGACGACTCATATATTTGCTGTCAAACTCCCAATAGACAGCCAAAGATTGGTTAATAATGGCACACATTCTCGTTAAGGTCTCAATTTGTACGACGAACTTACATCTTGCCATTTAGCCAGTAGTATATTTTTGTTACTAAACCCAGTTGCAATATGGCAACAGGGTTGCGACGGATCAGTCCTGATCGACTCGACAGCAAACAACACTGCCGAGAAAGACGCGCCCCCCAACAAGCCCAGCCTCCGCGGGTTCGAGGTGATCGACGCGGCAAAGAAGGCCATCGAGGCCAAATGCCCCAAGACGGTCTCATGCGCGGACATCCTCGCCTTCGCCGCCCGTGACAGCGTCGCGCTAGCAGGAAACGTTACCTACAAGGTGCCCGCCGGGCGCCGCGACGGCAGGATTTCCACCAACGCGAGCGCCCTCAGCAACCTACCCTCGCCGCTCTCGACGGCGGCCGAGCTGGTCGGCAACTTCACCCTCAAGAACCTCACGGCCGAGGACATGGTCGTCCTCTCCGGCGCCCACACCATTGGCGTCTCCCGCTGCTCGTCCTTCACAAACAGGCTATATGCCTTCAGCAACACCAGTCAGGTACATAAATGGTGTTCAAAACTGTCGCCAGATGTCAGACATTTTCCTATGCATCTAGTGATTGTTTTACTGCCAGGTTGACCCTACGATGAGCTCTGCCTACGCGTTCCTGCTGAAAAGCATATGCCCTGCCAACAGCAGCCAGTTCTTCCCAACCACGACGACTGATATGGACATCATCACCCCGACGGTGCTCGACAACAAGTATTACGTGGGTCTGACGAACAACCTGGGCATGTTCACGTCGGACCAGGCGTTGCTCACGAACTCGACTCTGAAGGCATCGGTCGACGAGTTTGTCAAGAGCGAGAAGAGATGGAAGAGCAAGTTTGTCAAGTCCATGGTGAAGATGGGGGACATTGAGGTGCTGACAGGAACGCAAGGAGAGATAAGGCTCAGCTGCAGGGTCATAAACAAAGGGAGCGCTGGTCTTGAGATCAATAATGGACCCGACTATGGTGAATTCGCTGAAATCGCGACGAGCTAGTGGCTTTTTAGGCCCTTGATTTGACAAAGAAAACAAGCATGCCGAACAACTGAAGATCGATCGTCCTGCTTTTTTTGTGTTGTTCCGTCTGTTTCTTAGTTTTTATTGTAACGATGCAAGATAAAAGTTAATGTTGCGCATGGGAATGGTGTGTTGTGAATTTTACCAAGATGACAATGGGATGTTTTTGTTCTTGTATTTACGCATTCTAAATTCAGGAAATGGAAGAGATGATGGAGAAAAACTACTTTCAAAAAATATGGACAACATTATACTCCATACTTGAGTGAAATAATTAAGAGTGAATTCCATTTTTTACCTTGTAGTTGTACATTTGTGACACATATTATCCTATTTAGCGAAACTTTTATCGAAATGTCAGATTTTGGAGACTTTTAACACGGTTTTACCCCAGTTTTACATTTTGTCTGTTTATGGTCGATAGGATCGGCATGTTGCGTCATTGATTTGTAAAAAAAACTGTAAGGATCGGAGGGCATCATTGGCGATCTTGTCCAAGCTTCTCTTGTCTATCTGTTCCACTCCTTGTGGCCGTCCACATGTTTTTGGATACAGGGCGTCACCTCACACCTTACCTGATGGACACGCATCAAAAACAAGGGTCTAAAGATTTCAAAAGAGGTATTCTAGACGAATTTTCACTCGAAGGGGTGATTAGTGTCACAAATGTATAAATATGAGGTAAAAAGTGGAATTCACTCAATAATTAATGGCTGAGATATGGCCAACTTCGACATAATGGACTGACACTACTGGACTTCCATATAACTAACGCGATTCTAATCTAGCAAAATAGAAGTTTGGTTGAGGACGCGGATTTGGTGAACTGAACATGGGTGTGCGCGTCCTTTATGAATAGTAAATTCAAAAAATACTAGAAAAAACCCAAAAATTTGAATTTATTGTTTTAATATACATAGTCAACCGGTATAATCACATATGAAGTTTCACAAAAAAATCACATCCGTGGTAATCTGGGCAAAAATGACAAAATCAAAGCTATATCAAAAAACACTGTTTTTTTTGCGGGTAAAAAACACTGTTTAATGAATAGTATGACCACATTTGTATTTTCTTCACTAAGAATATCATGGGTATCAATACATCATGAAATTTCACACGTGAGTAGAATGTTCGACTAAGGTTCATACCGCGAAATTTTAGAATTTTTTAAATTTTTCTAGTATTTTTTATGAATTTACTATTCACATGGGTGTGCGCGCACCATGTTCACCTTTGTATTTTCGTTTGGTTGATTCTAAATAAAATTTAAATGAAGCTTGAGATGCTCTAATTGCCTTAAACTTCATCATGCTCCCCGCCGGAACCTTGCCAGAACATTGTCGTCGTGTCACCGTCCGCGCCGACACCTGCTACCGCCTGACGCCAATGCCCGCCCCGCCGATGTGCCGCCGCTCGGCACCACACACCCGTGTCGTCACCCGCACCGCTCCTTGCCGGCAACCGTCCTGTGCCCGTGCCATCGCATGCCGTCTCGTGCCGGCGGCCACCACACCGGCCGTCGTCACGTCTATTGCTGACTGACGGGTCCTACGTCATTGTCTTTTTAATTAAATATAAAAATAAAAATAAATATAGGAGAAGAAGTTTACGGGGCTGATGAGAATTGTTCTCAGATAACTTCTTCTAAATTTTACGTTCATCTCGTAAAATCAGTTTTACGGGAAGTTTTGTAAAGGAGTTGTTGTGGTTGCTCTTGGTGGGAGGGCTCTCCGAAGCTATAATTTCGGCCTCGTGACGGAACGGACTGGGTTTGGCCTCTCCGTGGCGGAGCGGAGGGGTCGTCGCCGCAACGGCTACTCCTACTCCGGCCACTACCGGCGGGTACCCGGAGTGATGCAGCCTGAGGAGATCTACTCCAAGGCCTGCGGCGCGCTTGCTGCTTTGGTCTTCATTCTGGCGGACGCCGACAAGCCTGTTGTGGCGCCTCCCCCTGTGGCAATAGCCGCCGACATGGCCGTCCGGGCGGCGGCCCGGGAGGCATCGGTGGGGGCTGCATGCGGCTCCGTCAACCTGCATGGCGGGGTCTCGTCGCAGGCTGCAATGGACCCCACAGGCGACCAGGCGGACGTGGGTGGGCCTCTGCCGCTGGTGGGCATGGGCGCACTGGCACTGTCTCGGGAGGAGACAGCCGACAGTGATGTGCGGACCCCCACTTCCCCGCCAATGTTAACTGCGCCTTTCTGCCCCCCTGCGGTCTTGGATCTGCCTGTCGATACCCCCCCCCCCAGCCGGCCTGCCGCGGTGACGACGCGGTCGGATGGTCGGGCGGGCGGACCGAGGCCATCTACGGTCGATGCTGCGTACGCTGACCTGCATGGCGTGCTGACTCCGCTACCCACGCGCCCGCTGGGTCCCACTGGCTGTGATGGCATGGGGGGCCCCAACGCTCTGGTGGACAGGGAGGAGAATCCAAAGGAGGCCAATGATGAGCTGATCTTCCAACCAATCACTCACGAGCAAGCAACGGCACACTTCCTGGAGCTGGTGGCAACTCCTATTGAGCCGGCCATTCTGCATGCACCAACGGCCAAGCGCGGCCGCCCCCGCCGCCCGGCAAAGCCACCAGCAATGGCCACCCGGCGTAGCTACCGCCTCTCAAGCAAGAAGAAGTTGTTCCCGGAGACGCAAGGAAACATCATGGCACAAACAAGGAAGTTGGTCATGTCCAAGAGGGGGCTCGCCATCCCTGAGCGTGGCGAGACAGAAGAGCAATGGCTGCTAGAGCACAGGAGAGCCTTTGATGGGCCACTATCACCTGTCCAGATAGAGGCCCTTGCCTTGCTCGCAAGGGCGGGCAAGAGAGGCTCGGCCGTGCCGGTGCCGGCCTCCGCCTAGGACGGAAAGACTGCAGTTTGTTGAGCACTTTGCCAATGGAAAACAACTGGATTGTATGGAACGTGAGGGGTTTGAACAACCCAGCCAGGAGAGTAGTAGTTAAGGAGTTGTTGTACCGAAACAATGTATCCTTAGTATGTTTGCAAGAAACAAAACTATCCTTCGTCGATAGAGCCATGGTGAACCAATGTTGTGGCATGGAGTTCTCTGAGTTTGCATACCTGCCGGCTGTTGGATCCAGAGGAGGTGTGTTAATGGCATGGAAGGGTGACCACTACTCCATGTCCACCATTGCAGTTCAAGGATACACGGTGGCGGCTGTGGGGAATGATGCCAAGGGAACTCCGGTGGGTGTGATTGGGGTATATGGCCCGTAGATCTGGGAGGAGAAGCTTGCCTTCCTTCGTGAGCTCAAAGACACCATTCAAGACACTATTCCCAATGGCACGGCCCTTGCGCTGATCGGCGATTTCAACCTCATCACCGGCACAGCCGACAAGAACAACCCAAGGATCGACAGACGTTGCATCACTGCCTTCAGAAACTTCATCAACGAACTTCAACTGAAGGATCTATATCTCCATGGCCGTAGATATACGTGGAGCAACGAGCAAGCCAACGCAACCATGGTGAAGTTGGACAGAGTCCTCATCAATGGTGAATGGGAGGAGGCAATGCCCAACTGCATGCTTCAAGCTTTGTCCTCGGACATATCGGACCACTGTCCTCTCCTCCTAAACTGTGAGATCGCATTCCGTCAGCACAGGGCTTTCAGATTCCAGAACCACTGGGTGAAACTTGACGGCTTCGACGAGGTGGTTCAAGGTGCATGGCATGGGGCGCCGACGTCAGGGGACCCGGTTAGCCAAGTTGCGGGAAGGCTAGCAGCCACGGCTAAAGCTCTGAAACAATGGCAAGGGCAATTCTGCAATGACATCAAACTGAAAGCGGCCATTACAAGCGAGATCATTAGGCAGTTTGACCGGGTCATGGATCTTAGACCCTTAACAACTTCAGAGAGACAACTCCGTGCCACCCTGAAAATGCAGCGGTTAGGATATGCAGCGCTTGACAGAGCCATCTGGCGGGAGAAATCGAGAGTGAAGGGCATAAAAGAGGGAGATGCAGGTGCAAAATTCTTCAAAGCAAAAGCATCAGCCAGACGGAGAAAGAACTTCATCATCAAGTTACAGGTCGATGGGCTGATCATCACAGACCAAGACGCAAAAGTAAAAGCGTTTCACTCCTTTTTCGAGCATATTTTCGGATCAAAGGAGCCCCGCTCCAGGAGGCTGAACCTGTCAAGGCTTGGATACACAAGTCTGAACCTTGCCGAGATGGACGAGGCTATCTCGGAGGAAGAAATCTTGGCTAATATCAAGGAGTTGGATGGAGACAGTGCCCCGGGACCCGATGGGTTTACGGCCTTGTTCTACGAGCAGTGCTGGCCCATAATCAAAGATGATCTGACAAGGGTTGTCCGGGCTGTGCAAGCAAACGCGTCGCCACACCTCCACCGGCTCAACCAGGCTACGTTGATTCTCCTCCCAAAGAATGCAGAGGCCCTTACCACAAAAGATTTCAGGCCCATCATCCTGGTCTGTAGCTTCGCCAAGTTGATCACCAAGATATTGGCATCGAGGCTGCAACGCCGGATGAATGAGCTCGTCGGCCCCTGCCAGAACGCGTTTATCAAAGGGCGCGCCATCCATGACAATTTATGCTACGTCAGCGGGCTCGCCAAAGCCCTTCGGCGTGCAAACACGCCTGCCCTAATGATCAAACTCGACATTCAACGCGCCTTTGATACCGTGTCATGGGAGTTCCTTCTTGAGTTGCTTGTTGCAAGAGGATTTGGGAGAGGTTTCACCAATTGTCTGTCAGCGCTTCTCAGCTCCTCTTCGACAAGGATCCTTGTCAATGGTGATCTATCTGAACCGATCAACTTGGTGAAGGGGCTAAGGCAGGGAGACCCACTTTCACCGCTCCTGTTCGTTCTGGTCATGGACTGCCTTGCTATGCTCATCGACAAGGCGGTGACTGCCGGAATTCTGGGGCCGATAGGCAAACTACAACTGCCCTTCAGACTTTCTCTGTATGCCGCCGACGCAATATTGTTCATCAACCCATGCCACAAGGAGGTACTTGCACTAACAAAAATTCTCATGCTATTCGGAGAAGCTACGGGCCTGCACACTAATTTTGCAAAATCTTCGGTCTCCGCTATCTGCTGCAACGGGATCGACCTCCAAGAACTCCTTCAAGACTTGGGCTGCCCCGTCAAGGAGTTTCCTTGCACATATCTGGGCATGCCACTGACAGACAAGAAACTGAATAAGAATGACCTTCAGCCGATCTGCGACAAACTGCTTGCAAGGATGAAGGGCTGGAAGCTTGCCTTTCTTTCCCTGGATGGACGGCTGGATCTAGTCAGGACTGTGCTCTCGGCGATGCCGATATTTCAAATGCTCGCCTTGATATTACCTGCTTGGCTGGCTAAGCTGATTGACAAGGTTCATCGTGGATTCCTCTGGGAGGGCAGTGAAGTGGCGGCCGGGGGCAAATGCCTTGTCAACTGGGGTGTTGTTTGTCGGCCAAAGGAGTTCGGAGGGCTAGGCATCATCAACCTGACATCCCAAAGTCGATCCTTATGGATGAGGTGGCTGTGGCTCTCCTGGATCGACAGCAACAAGGCATGGCTGGGGCTGGACTTGCCTATCGACCCTTCGGTCAGATCACTGTTCAACGCATCTGTGGACTTCCAGTTGGGCAAGGGTGACCGCATTCTGTTTTGGAAGGAGCCGTGGTTTAAGGGCAGCAACCTGCAGGACGCCTTCCCGGCACTTTTTCAGCATTGCACAAGGAAAAACCTCACCGTTGCACAGGCATTGGAGAACAACAGATGGATCCGACACCTCAAAGCCAACATCTCTGCTCAGGCGACGAGGGAATTCCTGAAATTATGGGAGGCAATCCAAAATATACAATTAACACAGGAGCCTGATCGAGTTCAGTGGAAATGGACAGCAGACGGCGTGTACACGGCGAGATCGGCCTACAAGATTCAGTTTGAGGGCTGCACTCGGCCATCGTGGGCCGAGTTCCTTTGGAAATCTGATGCACCGGGCAAATGCAAGCTTTTTGCATGGTTGGCGCTGCTTAGACGATGCAACACGGCCGACGTCCTTGCGAGGAAAGGCTGGCCTCACAGTCCGTCTTGCTCTCTATGCAATGGGCCAATGGAGGATGTCGTACACCTGCTAGCCTCCTGTCCCGTCTCCATCCGAATCTGGCAAGACATCATTGAGCGCTGCAACCTCCATCCGGACCTCGCTCCCACCTCCACAACAACTTCCCTGGTGCTTTGGATCGAGCAGTCCAATGGGATCCTTTCTGCCCCCACAAAGAAGCCATGGAGCGCACTCGTGCAGCTGGTTTGGTGGTCGATATGGAACGAACGAAACGCAAGGATATTCAGAAACCAACCATCGCCGCAGACGACGGTGATGGAACGGATGATTGAAGAAGCAGCGATCTGGCAACGGGCGGGACGGGGCAAGGCCAGCTCCCTCCTAAACAGACCAAGAGAACCAGACTAGGAAAGCTTAGTTCAGGAAACGGAG